TTTTAAGATTCGAACTTGAGAGCACTTGTCGATGTAAACTCTTATGTCAATGTCCAAAACCAACTTCCATGTTTGAAAACTTCACGCCAAATTTTAGCTTATTTGTTACAAAGGCTATTTGTGAAAGGATTAAGCTCCTACTGCGGGCTTGATAACTAAGTTAGTGTTTATTTTTGTTTAAATTACCTCAGTCGCCATCAGAATACGAACTAAACACCTTTGTTTGTACTTCTTGTCAATGAATGACATAAAAAAAGGCAAACAGTGTGCGCTGTCGTTTTTCGCAGATTCGAAGATGGATGCTACGAAGACAATGATCACCGTTCTATTTATCATGTTCCCAATGCTGATAAAAGTACAGCAGGCTCTAAATCTTCAAGGTAATTTATAAAAAGCATATGATTATGAAAATCGGTAAAAAAAATTTCAAATTGTAGACGTTCACATCAATTCCAATTCGGACGCATTGAATGCAGCCTTCCTGTTTAAATCAGTTTGCATGGTTGACTGGTCATTGTGTGCATGCAAGCTGCTCTCTGAAGCCATTGAATGCTCCCCTGGAGCTCCCTGTGAAAGCCCCTGGGCCCAGTTGTTCGAAGGCCGATTAGCGCTTAACCCGGGGTTTAAATCTAACCCGAGTTTCTTTCTCTTGTGTTCAAAAGCATTTTCGCGGATAATTTCCCTGTTATTTTTAGAGCCTCCAATCATCAACTTGTAGAGAAAAGGAATTAAAACTGAAATGCTTTCCAAGCTTTCACAACTGAATTCAAATATCGCACTAACCCTGGGTTATCTTAACCCAGCTTTGAACTACTCGGCCCCGGTTTCTATGAAGCCCATTTGATCGCGTTGAGGGCACATCTGCACCGAAATTGTTGGACCTTTGCTTGTCATCATAAAAAATGATGAACAGGAAAGATGCTAAGCACTGGTATAATGAATTTTGTATAATATGAACATTTATCTTTTCGTTTTCAATAATTTATCAAAGGAGTGTTCTTTTCTAAAAAATGTTATTGTAAAGTCGTCGTAAAAGGAATTTCGGGATAGTTGTAGTTGTAATGTGGAAGGGTTTTAAGAAGATCGGCGGCGATCTAGTCTTCTAATTTTATTTATATATATCATAGAGATCATAGTTACAGGTGAATTACTTACTAGGATTAGTATATGCACAGGCAGACCACCCTCTGTTAGTGGGGCGGTTGTTGATTGAAATCTGAGCAACGATCTTTTGTTATTTATAGAAGAAATACATATGAACAATACGGTGGCTATAATTTGTTGCAAAATGCAGAATTCAAAGCAAATTTTTCAATGAACGTTTGAGGAAAATGCTAACTGAGCCATGTGTCATGTTTTTTTCGCCGTCCTGTGCTTTTTTAAGCGCTATTTTGCGAGATGAATATTTGACCTCGGCGGTTAGAACTAAAGAAGGAGACAAGGCAGGCAGCAATCAGCCGCCGGTGCGTGACCCAGTCCAATTTACGCTGGAACTGACACCAAACTATCTAATTTCTTACCTCGAAAATACCGGCTCCCGATCCAGTAGATATGTATCCATACCCCATCCGAATGAGAGCTCAGTCCTTCCAAAATTTCTCGAGAAAAGCGATCCTGAAGTTGCAAGACCAGCTTTCTCAACATGACCGGTGCACAAAACTCAACCAAAGGCATTTGAGCTATGCGCGTCGATTCAANGAGCAATTTGAACATTCAGCCAAAATTTCGGCTACATTTTACAGACAAAAACGTGGACAAAAGGATTTTTTGTATTCCTACCAACCAAGAGAGGGTTCATTCCGCTTGCATGCTACAGCAGTGTCTAGTGCACTGTCCATTGCGCACAACCAACCGAGCGGTTTATCATCAGTCACGTATACTACAACTAACCAGCGGTTATTCACCAAAGGTGCCCTTGCTATAAAAAACGAAAATTTTTTTGAGAACTTCTGGGAATTTTAGACATTTCTAAAAGAATTTTAAAGCTTTTTCAGGGAAATTGTGGCAAGAATTTTAGGCCATTAAAATTTCCATATACCACAGGCAGACCACCCTCTGTTAGTGAGGGCCGTTGTTGATTGAAATCTGAGCAACGATCTTCTGTTATTTATAGAAGAAATACATATGAACAATACGGTGGCTATAATTTGTTGCAAAATGCAGGATTCAAAGCAAATTTTTCAATAAACGTTTGAGGAAAATGCTAACTGAGCCATGTGTCATGTTTTTTCGCCGTGCCGTGCTGTTTTAAGCGCTATTTTGCGAGATGAATATTTGACCTCGGCGGTTAGAACTAAAGAAGGAGACAAGGCAGGCAGCAATCAGCCGCCGGTGCGTGACCCAGTCCAATTTACGCTGGAACTGACACCAAACTATTTAATTTCTTACCTCGAACATACCGGCTCCCGATCCAGTAGATATGTATCCATACCCCATCCGAATGAGAGCTCAGTCCTTCCAAAATTTCTCGAGAAAAGCGATCCTGAAGTTGCAAGACCAGCTTTCTCAACATGACCGGTGCACAAAACTCAACCAAAGGCATTTGAGCTATGCGCGTCGATTCAATTCCACCAATCAGCGTATCACGACCGTTGGCAGTTCAAAACCACAACCCTACCCCGTACAGGGATGTTTGTTTGGCCGTGATACGCTGATTGGTGGATTTGAATCGACGCGCATAGCTCAAATGCCTTTGGTTGAGTTTTGTGCACCGGTCATGTTGAGAAAGCAGGTCTTGCAACTTCAGGATCGCTTTTCTCGAGAAATTTTGGAAGGACTGAGCTCTCATTCGGATGGGGTATGGATACATATCTACTGGATCGGGAGCCGGTATGTTCGAGGTAAGAAATTAAATAGTTTGGTGTCAGTTCCAGCGTAAATTGGACTGGGTCACGCACCGGCGGCTGATTGCTGCCTGCCTTGTCTCCTTCTTTAGTTCTAACCGCCGAGGTCAAATATTCATCTCGCAAAATAGCGCTTAAAACAGCACGGCACGGCGAAAAAACATGACACATGGCTCAGTTAGCATTTTCCTCAAACGTTTATTGAAAAATTTGCTTTGAATCCTGCATTTTGCAACAAATTATAGCCACCGTATTGTTCATATGTATTTCTTCTATAAATAACAGAAGATCGTTGCTCAGATTTCAATCAACAACGGCCCTCACTAACAGAGGGTGGTCTGCCTGTGGTATATGGAAATTTTAATGGCCTAAAATTCTTGCCACAATTTCCCTGAAAAAGCTTTAAAATTCTTTTAGAAATGTCTAAAATTCCCAGAAGTTCTCAAAAAAATTTTCGTTTTTTATAGCAAGGGCACCTTTGGTGAATAACCGCTGGTTAGTTGTAGTATACGTGACTGATGATAAACCGCTCGGTTGGTTGTGCGCAATGGACAGTGCACTAGACACTGCTGTAGCATGCAAGCGGAATGAACCCTCTCTTGGTTGGTAGGAATACAAAAAATCCTTTTGTCCACGTTTTTGTCTGTAAAATGTAGCCGAAATTTTGGCTGAATGTTCAAATTGCTCTAGTTTTTTCTAAAATTCCTGAGATTTTTTAAACTCTTTTTGATGCCTAAGATCTCCCCAAAAATATCCGGAATTATGTAGCTAAGCCTAAAGCTACCATATATTGAAATTTCTATTTTTATCTTGGGCAGAATGTTAAAATTCCAATAATTGACCTTCAGAATCAGAGTTTTCAATCTTTGGCTCGCCTGCGAATACAGCCGTCTCCCCTTTCCCCTTGCCGTCTCTCCCGTTTCGCGGGAGAGACGTCTGCGCTTCAACGACGGAAATTCCATACTGATGACGTTGAATCAGTCCAGAATCTGTTCAGGAGCTCTGATTGCTCAACTTAGTAATCATATTCTTGCAGCTATTGTTTACGAATGACAAAATGTAAAAGTGATGAATTAACTACAGAACGTTATCATTCATGGAATATATTATTTTTTAGAAGAAGCCTCAGCTTGCTGCCGCTCGTTAGCAGAAGAACTCAAAACTTTATGATAAAACGGGACAAACTTTAACTCGAACACATTTACAACTGAAACTCCATGAGTTCAAGATTAATTTTTTTAAAAAATGTTGAAATTTCAATATATATTCTTTATATCAATTTTTCTGCGCACCATGTAAATAACCATGACAACCCACAGTACGTAATAACTGCCAAGTAATTTTTGCAGACTACTCCAATTATATAAACCAAAAAAAGAACGAGATAAATGAGAAGCTGGAAAGAGCCAGGAAATCAATTGATGAATTTGTCATTGAAATTGAAGCCAGTTGTGAAGGTTTCTCTATAGTTTCTTCAAAACACCTTTGAAAAAGGTCTGGAGAGTTGTATTGTCTGTAAGTCACACCACATATTACATTTTTCTTTTTAGCAAAAGGCATTTCAATCCGTAACGCTTGAAATGCTTTATTGTAATTCATTTAATTTTCATAAATAAACATTCCAACACCTCCAGAGGCAAGAGGAGTGGGAACGTATTCAAATTCATAGCCCTGAATTGTAAGGTAGCAAGCGGGATTTGAACTGGTAACTTTAGTTTTGGAGACTCCGATAAGTAAGTGGTAAAAGATTAGGCGGAGAAACAAGACCGCAAGACTGAAGACCCAGCGTGATACAACGCCAAAAAGCGAGAGTCATCGAGACTGAAAATATAACAGTCTAAAATGAACCGGTTCAAGTAGCATTTCTAGCCGATTCAGAAGACTTGAATGCCAATTTTTCCCGGTGGAGTTTGTTCCCAGACACCGCTTGCATGATAATCGGCTTTTTAAAGCCTATCAACAAAGGCACTTTGGAGTAGGGTTAAAGGGCGGGAAGGCTGATTACTAAACACCTTTGCTCCGAAGTGCCTTTGTTAATTGCACCTGCTAGGACTGTAGAACGCCTAAGATTTGTACGGCCAACTCGATCATATGAGCAGAAAAAGGCACAATTGATAACGTGAGCATTTATTTGTTTCTCTTCACTGTCTTCATCTAGAAGTGACATGCAACTTTGATATATCTTTGTGCGGTTTTGAGCAAGGCACAGATGACACGTTTGACTGGACTCGACATAAAGGCAAGACACCTTCTCCCGGTACAGGACCTTCTTTTGATCACACCACTGGAGACATAACAGGTGAACTCTAAATTTGCGATCGTGCGGTAAAATCTAGAAACTTACTATGAGGCAGTCCTACTATTAGCAAAGAGAAATATAATGTATCAAACTAATGTAAGAGCAGTCTGCTGCACATTTCACTTTTGTTATGAAAATATTGTTAGTTTTAATGTTGCAAGTTGTTCTACTTGATGCCACAACCACTTTCTTTGGTTTAATTGTCTTTTGTTAGTTATTTTAGCTGCTTTCGNGTGTCTTTGTCGTTCGTCACATACCCCCCTCCTTTTTGTTTTTTGTTTTCGTTCTTTTTGTTTTTGATTTTTTGTTTTCTTTATTCTTGGCTAGCACTCGCGCTCGCATACTGTCTTACTGCTCATGCGTTCCTCCCAGCGGTCGTGGGTTTTGTTTTGGGTGGGGGGGGGGGGGGGGGGGGGCTATGTTCATGTCTTGTAGCGTTTCCTGTTTCTCTCAATTCCCGAAAGAAGGACGTCTTAGCAACTTTTTTTTAAGAAGGCTCCCTACTTTGATCATTCTCATCGTTTAGTCAGTGAGGGTCATCTTTTTAAAGTCACATGGAAACTTTTTTAGTGCGCTCTCGGATAGGTTATTTTTTTTTCTCTTCTCGCTATCCGTACACCCAGTTGTATCCCCTTGTAAGTTATAGACGTGTATATATCTTTTCAACAAAAAAAAAAAAAGATGATGTAGCAAAATTGGATAGTCCGCACTGTCTGGTTAAGTATTTGTTACTCTATGTTGATCTTCATCTCTTTAAAGGTTATTTCATGTACATAGAAGCATCCAGTCCACGAAAACGAGAAGATAATGCAAAATTGTACAGTCCTCCTCTTGCATTCCCAGGGCACATGTGTCTTGAATTCTATTACCATATGTCTGGTGCAGCTATTGGAAGCCTGAAAGTCACCATAAACGAAAAAGTAGTGTTCTCTAGAAGCGGTGATAGAGAAGACAAGTGGTATAAAGCCAGTATAAATGTATCAGCTATTGTGGGATTGCATAGGGTAATAAGCTTTATCTTTTATCTCTCTTAATCTAACTGAGCCGAGATCCTCAACGATGGGAAAACGGTGTCCACTGAAGGTAGTAATAGAGGAAGTTAAAAAGACACTAGGAATATTTGAGCATATCTTTTTTATTTGGCTTTGGAGTCTAAGCATGTTCCGAATCTTACTTTAGTCATGAATTTCCTTTTTTTTGTACTTGTCAGTTAAAAAGAAAACGAAATTAGTTGACTCGATCGATCGACTGCTACTATTGTCAGACTGCATCTTCAGCTGCATCTTACCATTAGCTTCAATTTGACACTGTTAAGTATATATATCATTCCATAATAACATTTTGTCACTACAGTCGAACCTCTTTAATACGGACACCGAACGGACAGAGCGAATTGTCCGTATTAAAGAGGTGTTCGTATAAAAAAGGTCATTACGATGACGTCACTTTTATGACTGCACTTACAGTTAGTGTTGAGTAGTAGTCATTTAAGTTAATCAATTAGCAATTCCCAGTACAAAGACTCTGTTTTTCAGTAGCATTCAACTTTGTACATATCAGCGACGTACGTACATTCGTAGACAAATCACTGTTTCAAAACGAAACGAGCTACAGCGCAATCCTGCATCTAAAAAGTTGTAACGTAAAGCACAATTCTGAAAGAGTCTTTCGCTATTTTGTAAGTGCAGTAAACAGTAACTATAGAGTACAAAATGTAATGGAAAAGATCTTTATGCGATCTGTAGTTATTCAAGATTTAAAAAAATCGGTTACGTTCCTCTGTACACCTTTTTGCAAATCGTTCTTTGATATACAGCGACTGGGCTTTTGAAGTCACCTTGCATAGCTTATCAGCCAGACGGGATTCACCCTTTGCAGATTCACCTGATCGGGATTCGGGATTCACCTGATCAGCGCAGTGTCCGTAATAAAGAGGTTAAGTTTATACGGATTTACTCTCTTGGGCCGAGATTTAGTGTCCGTTGTCCGTATTAGAGAGAGTCCGTATTATAGAGGGTTTTTTTTCTTTTTAAGAAAATATAAAAGAATTTTTTCGGGAAATTGGAAACTGTCCGTAATACAGAGGTGTCCGTACCGAGAGGTTTCACTGTAATTTCAGTAAAACATACTTTCTCTTCAAGTCACGAACAGCGGCGCTTTCAGACTGATTACACCTTTCATAGATCAGTGCCAAATAAAACAGTAAACGCCTAAGTAGGATTATGCACATTTCGAGCCATCGCAGCGCGGAATTGAATGGGTTTTTCAAAATTTCCTCACGTATCAGTTATATTTGTGAGAGAGCTTCGCGTGGTTGAGTTTTATCTGTTATTATGTACAAACGTGATTAAACAAATCAGACAACCCCAACCACAATTACAGACTGAAATGGACTTCACTCCTTCCTATTACCCTGCAGTATCTAAATTATCAGAATTATTTTCTTTTACCACAGGTGACATTTGAAGGGGTAGTTGGCAACGATTACAGGGGTGACATAGCAATTGACGATTTCTCCTTGACAGCCGGGTCTTGTGCTTTTAGTAAGTAGTTTTGAAAAAGAACTATCTTTGCAAAGGTAAACAAAAATTGTGGTGCCCTATTTTTGTTAAGGAATACTTTATACTTGAGTTGTAGGTATTAACATTTGTCTTTGGGGGCAACAAAAGATTTGCGTCGAAGGATAAAGACCAAGAAAAGGATTGAAACTTACTTGTTCAGATTCTTTCAATATGCCCCTGATAATAATTGTCGTTACAGCGCTCGTTTACTTTCCGCTTCCACGAATCAATAATGCGTCTTTTTAAGCCGCATCAACATACGTTCCTTGGCCTCAGCAGTGTTTTATTTCCTTTATACATGATTGTTTTTAACTTAGGGACGGACCATTAGAAAAGTTATGGGGGGGGTGGGTGGGTGGGGAATTTTTGAGCCGCAGGAATTTGTTTTCGCTATGAAATTCTTTGTATGAATTTTTTTAGGCCGTAGCATGAATATTTTTTAGGGTTAATTGGCGTGCATGATTTTTTTTTCATTTAATTTTTCCTTGCGCGGGGTGGCTAAGGTTAATTCCCTTTTAGCGCTCCAAGCGTTCAGATCGTGGGGACGGCGAGAGAGATATGAGCAAAAAAAAAGGCAGTAAGGGGGGAGGGAGGCAGTCTAGTTATTGTATAATTCGCTATGATTTAGTTACATAGTGCACTCTTGACAGCCACTGATTACTAGTGATATTCGACTACAAACTTAGTTCGGTCCTTTTCCATTTCTGCAGTTCCAAAGCATGGATTATTTCGGTGCTGAATTGTGCTCTTTCGTTTCCTTATTCAGATTGTTGCAGTTATCACTTTGAAAAATACCAAGATTTACCAACCAGCTCAGCTCACGCTGTGGAACATTTCACCATCAATGGAAATCTGTTTCTCGCCTTCGCAAACTACAAAAGTGACATCGCCGGAAAATACAACACAGACTCTTTCATATACAAGTTCAACGATTCGACTAGGAAATTCTCTCCTTATCAGAACATAAGTACAAATGGAGGGCAAGACGTGGAATATTTCAAAATTTCTGATGAACATTACCTTGCTGTTGCTAATGGTTACAATGGAGTTACGCACAGACTGAACTCTGTTATTTATCGTTGGAATGGAAAATTGTTTGTCGCTTTTCAAAACTTTACTACGCAAGGAGCAAATGGCTTTAGTTTTTTCATAGCAGACAAAGAACCATTTCTTGCCGTATCAAATCTTTACCACGACGTTACAAATAGTATAAACTCTGTCATCTACAGGTGGAAAAACAAAAGGTTTGAACTCTTTCAGGAGGTAGCAACAGACGGAAGTAATAAAAGTGTCGCGTTTCTAATTAATGATGAAAGCTACATCGCTTTTGCCAATTACGTCAAAGATTCAGTCGTCTACAAGTGGTCAGGGAAAAGCTTCTTCAAACTACAGACTCTTCCGAAAGCAAATGATTTAAAATTCTTTAATATAAGTGATAATGCGTTTCTGACCATCTCCTCTCCAAACGAGAACCCGTTAATTTACGAGTGGAATGGCACTCAGTTTGGGTTTTACCTGATCTTTCTTAATGCTGCAGGGTGGGGCTTGCATCCATTTGTGACTTGTGGCCAAAACTTTCTAGGTTTGGCTGATCCGTACAACAAGGCAATGTCCCCGCTGTATATATATATGTTCTCTAATGGCCAGTTCACAACATTTCAAAAGATTTCCACCACTGGAGCGATGGATATAACGTCATTTGAACATAAGGGTCATACTTATCTGGCTATGGCTAATTCAGGGAATGATAACCAAAAGAGCACTGAAAGTGCGCTTTACAAGTGGACCATAGATTAATTGGTGGATTAGTTTATGATGCAGTCTATCCAAAGAGTAACTCTCGAGGAAGGTGCATACGTAGGCTTTAATGGAGCAAGAACGTAACTGAAACTGCTATATAAAACAATTTTTCACCGAAGTGGAGGTGCCTAGTGACCGAGGCCGCAGAGCGGTGACATCAATATCCACCACTAGCCACCTACACTGAGGTGAGTAATTGTTTTAGTATATACTAAAACAGCGAGATGATGATTTTAACTCATTTACTGTGGCCAACGACTACAATTTTGGCGCGCAATGACCGAGCGGCCGCGGTCGTCGGTTTTTTTTTGTTCCGACAAATGAAAATTTTGAAGGCATTTGTTTAGCTCTTGCGGGGAAATTTCTTCAAAAGGAGTACTATCCACTGTTTTAGTATATACTAAATAGATTTAGCCAGACCTAACAGTGAAGCTTCCGTTTATATACTGATAATAATTATAAAAGGAACAATTGAACTTTCAACCAACAAAGCTATGAATTAAAATTAGGTTTAAGAGCCCTCCTCCATACCTTGCAAGGGACGGATTGGTTGATTTAAGAAAAAAATTCTGCAAACACACTTAAAATTAAGAAAAAAGCCTTTACAACAAACACTATTTTGAATCAAGTTGATCACGATAGTAGGCTTGGAAAATAATTCTTGCCAAGACTACATAGCAGATGAAATCCCCAATGACTTTATGTGATGCTTTGTTCAACCAAATACGAAAATACCAAACGAAACAAATAAACACGCTTTTAATAGAACAGTTAACAATCTTGAGGCTGCCTTTCATTTTGTGGAGATAGCGGAAGAACGCGAAATGTTAAGTAATAATAATGACAAATAATGACAAATAATGACAAATTTCTTGATGCTAAGTTTTGACGGGAGAAGTCACCTGTCAATATTTGACCAATCAGAGATTAAATTGGTCCTATAACTCGAATAAAGACTTGACCAAGCTAATAAAAGCCTAAAGCCTTAAAAATTTATTTTTGAAAGTTTTTTCGGTTAGTCAAATACAAGGGCCTTGAAGATTTGTACCATTGCAGCTCCACTGCCAGAGTCTCCTCTCTTCCCCCCTCCCCCCTCCCACAGTCTATACGCGTGGACAGGCCACAGCTGATGTCATAACCAAAATTTTATATAGCAATGGGTCCACCGTTATTACATAGTGTCGATAAGGAGTGGGCTGGTAGGGTACAAAACAAAATAGTGTGGCTGTTTAATTATCGTAAGTCACTTATTGGCACTGAAAGGTTAAAAAATCTTAGTATAGCTGAGTTATCACGCCTTTTAAAAAAGTTATAACTGCGTCTTGGAAGAAATATATTATGTGCTAAATTAAACCCCCAGAGACGATACGTTAGACTGCTGTACACACGAGGGGGAGCAAAGAACGGTCTAAAACGGTCTTCACATCAATGAGTAGGGTTGTCAACCGGAATCATATGGGCCAGTATAACGCCAGTGTGTTATAACCCATGTAATGTAATTTATTATATGGCTACAATAGTACACGTGCTCTGATTGGCTGCCAAGCGGGCGTTATTTTTTTAAACAACCGGGCATTAGTAGCAATGTGTCCAAGGTATAAACAAGCTGTGTTTAATTTGATAGTGGGCATCCTTATGGACAACCATCTTATTGTCAATTGAAAGGTATCCCCAGACCAGTGTCACATGATATTACGTGATTTTTTAAGTTGTCGGTTTTAATTGATCGCTCAGGTACATAATGAAAAGGCCATATAATAAATAACTTATAACCTCGTCCCTTAGGTTATAACAGGGAAGTCTCAGACTAAGGCCCTGATGTATTGACCGATCAAACGATTTACATAAATAACTGTTGTAATTTCAACTTGAAATGAGAAATGCCAAAGGATGAAGCAAAGTGATGAGCGAAACAATGAGTCTAATTGTACTGTAACATCTCATATTCATGGTAGAAATTAGCATTATTTTATCACTTTTGCAAAGTATTAAGACAAAAGTGGAATATTGGTCTGCAACACAGTCGTTTTCTGTGACGTCACTCAACGCTCCTCCCCACAAAAAAATGGTGCATCCCTCTGCATTATCACCTCCAGTTTTTCGATCAGCTGAAAGAAACTGGGACGAGAGCAAGGGTCATCTTTTCAACAGTCAGTCCTTAACTCGTATCTATTGTGTATAATGTAGGTTTTCAGGGAAAATAATATCTATTTATAAACTTTAAGATGACAATGGTGAAGAAACGTATACGTCATCACAGCACATGTCTGGCCTTTTCATAGGATATCCACTGCCGTAGAGTCGATACGACTCTGTGTTGGTCAGCGTCGGATATGGCAGCGAAATGAATGTTTTCCCGCTATAACTTATCTTTATTTTTATGGCAATGACGTGACATATTAACATCCCTCAGCTGAGAATAATTGCACTTTGACACCTGAAAGAGGTGAGTACCCCAACACCTTCGCTAATGTGCTTCCTTCGAATTATGACAGAATTCTAGGTCCCAAAAGTAAATATCGTGTGACGTCAACCCGCGGCTCCCTACTGATCCCTGCGCAGGTCAAAGCTCCTCATGCAACGTTAAAAAATAGTTCAGTATATCAGCAACTCATTTCAATTTTAGCCTATCAAACTCACCCAAGCGAAAAAGACACATTGTTCTGAAAGATGTTGCTTAGCTTTTGCGTTTCGCCTCGCTGATCGCGTTCGAAGTTAAACACGACTCCCGAACACAATGATCCAATATTACTACATAGCAATTTGGCATCCAATCTGGCCATTTTAATCACAAACAATTACCATAACAATTGAAAGACTTAACACAGCTGCTTTAAATTTAGCTTCATTGCGAATCTGTCATGTATTAAGCCAACTTTCCTCGTCCGCGCTCAAAAGCTGTAACTGAAGCCGAGAAAGGTAGTACTACGCATCCTTCCAAATTATGTACTCAAGTTGTGTTTTTTGTTCGTTCGTTTATTTGTTTGTTTTTATTGTACCCGGAACAAAATCTTTTAGATATAGGAACTATCCCTTCTTATAATAAAAGTTAACAGGGAAACTGTTCAAAATATGCGACAACTCAAAATAGGAAGGATAATGCTAAAAAATAGTAATTAAATTGGATAATCTCCAATAGCATCTTGCAACATGCTGGCGAAACATCACATCTTCCATAACACATGTTAGCTAAATTAACCTGAAATTTAACCTGCATTGTCCATAATCACCAAATCTACAACTGAACAGCAGCTGAGTAAAATCAATGCTATAAGATTTTAGACAACTTGTTCTTTAAATCAGCTTCAACGGAGCAAACTGGCTTAACACATGGTAGTTTGAATTTTCAAAGCCATTTTCAGGTATTTTATACCTTAATCTTTACAGCTGTTTAAAATAAGAGAATAATGATAACTGCTTCAGATTTATTTGAATGTTTATGTTTTGCAAAAAAAGGAAAAAACTACATACAAAGGAAGCATTGAAAAAGAGGTATGTTTAACTGAGTCCTGTTCTGCTTAAGTAGGTACACATGTATAATTGACTCAAAAATAGCTACTAGAAATGTGACGTTAAAAAATTACTTGGGAACGATTGAACCAAAAGGCTCGTAACCAAGCAATTTCGAGCAATTCCGAGATCCATACCAAACAACCGACGTGGAGTACAGTAAGTTTAAATCGATGAATTCCGATTTTTATGGTTTGTTGATTTCTCAACAACATGATAATACTTGTATTTTATTTTCATTTTTTTGCAAGTGCGGTAAAAAAAGACATTAAAGAGAATTTAAATTTTTTTACGAACCACTTCATCTGTCAAAACGTTGGCCAATCCGTTACTAGATTGGTCGTGGAGCGTGACCAAAACCTGAAGTCATGCTAAGCAAAGCCATAAAATAAAAATTTCCAATTTTTTTTTTCGCAAGGTAAAAAACTTCGAAATCTTAACTGGAGCAGTTGTTTAGGTTGCCTCTAAACTGGATAACCTCTCGCGCCAAAACCGTGATTTAAAATCAAAACCTAACAACGATAAATTTAGTAGTCAAAACTAGTGAGGCTCAGTGCTTACAAAACAGCGCATTTGTGCAATTACAGTGACCCCACTTGAGTTTGTAAAATGTTATAAGGTCTCTGACTTTTCTTCGGAAAACCATAGGAACTAGATCCAGTCATTTGAGTCACTCATTGTAACTTAGCTTGAGCAGAAAAAACCTTGTCGCTCGTCGTTTGACCCCCCACCCCCCCTCCTCGTTTCTTATTGTCTTCCTCTCAGGCTTACTGCTTTTTCTCCTCCTCCTTCTTCTTCCTCACTTTTGGCCTGATTTTGGCCTGTCTGATCTGATATAACCTGTTTATCTGGAAAACAATATACCCGAGAAGAAGGAAGGAAAACAATAGTAATGAGGAGGAGGGGGCAAAGGAGGAGTTAACAACTAAAATTAGGATAAGGAGTTGGAGAAGGAGGAGGAAAAGTATTGGGAATGTGGTGGTGTCGGTGATGGTAGTGGTGGTGATGGTGGAGGGAAAGTAAACAAAAGTAGTATGAAAGGAGATCAAGAGGGAACAGGAAAAAGCCAGAAATTTTACCAATGAGTTTGTTAGAGAGATTGAAGCCTGTTGTGAAAGAAGAACCACAAGTAAGTAATGCGTAATGTGAGGCTGATTATGGGGGAGTATGGATTGCCGGGGCAGGGCCACTAACCAAATGTGCTACACTGTAGTTCGCATGCATTCGGCCATCACCTCATATTATTGAATAATTTGCGGAGGTTCCTGAAGATCGTTTTCACATGTGGTCATTGGCGCAAAATTCTGCGGGCTGGCTGTTGTTTAGTCAACTTTAACAATAGCTAAGCCGTGCGCCCAGCCATCGGTTAGAGAGTACCGCGGGCTCATCGAGACGCCCAAGGATGAAGACTGAGCCTAACCACATGACTGAAAACGATCTATTCGTGGTACGGTGAGATTGTGGTTGGTCAGTTCGACAGCATCGTC